AATCAATTGACTTATGTTACTAGTTCCCGTTTGTCCAATGGAGACTGAAATTTTCACTGAAGACTTAAGTGGCCCTTATACAAATGGCCAGCGACCTTCTAAAATTCTTAACGACGCGGTTTTTATAAAGCTTTTATTTTGACTCTGTTTATGTGCATAGATGGTGGCTAACAGAGGACCCTAATCCCGTTTCACGTTCAAACTTGAGAATTGAAAAACTCACGCTTCACGTACATTTTAAACAGTATTTAATTCGTCACGACTTCAAAAGGGAAGTCTTCAACAGTTCTATTGCGCAAGGTTTCAGGGAAATCTTTAGGTTTTCACGAAATGAGAAAATCAAATTTACGAGTCACGCACACTTAAGGAAATAAATCACTCCTCACGCCGGTTCATGACTCAAGGTCGACTTTCTGTAAAATCCGCGCGTCAGATATTAATGATCACGCGTCACGTTTAAAGATCTTTTCACAGTCTGCCTAGTCGTTACATCACGTCTGTTATTCATCCTTGTTTACTTTAGAAATTAAAACAGTGGACTTGATAGCCTGACTCTGCATCGTGAGACAACTATCAACCGTTCATTTATTAAACAAGAAAACCTTTGAACATATGAAATATAGCGCAAAAAACGTTTGGAGGTGGTGAGTTTTATTAGAAGCTTATGGTTAATGAGGGGGCCTTGAGAATTTCGCTTTTGGGGTTTTGGCTATTTTTTAGATCAATTTTTCGGTTTTGGTGTTCATTATGGTTTGTGGATTTTCCGTTTTTAGCATTCGATCTTCGGTTTTCGTCAAAAATACTAGCGAGTTTTCGGATTTGGTATCCGATGAAGTTTTCGGTGTTTCCTATTAAGGCTCCGGTTTCTCTTCGATCTAGGTAGCAGTTATGCGGCCTCCACTGATCTCGAACGGCTGCGAAACCTCTTTTTGCTCCCCCTGTCACAGCTGTATCGGATCCGTTAGGGCTTTGATAAATGGGATGTGAAAACTAAGACCTAGAAATTTTGAAGGCGCCTAAAAGAGTCAGTTTGGTAATGTTTAAATGAAATCACAAGCTTTTGGGTTTCATAGTTCGGTTGCAAAGCTAACAAGAAAACAATCAATCAAACAAGCTCTCTTTTTTTCGTCCGCAAAATCACGCACGATTATTCTGTGTTGACATAATCGACATTAAGGTACCACAATTTCTGTCAAATCGACCGCGGTCAAATGAAGCACTAGGTCGAAGGCACTTGGATAATAGGAACATTTGCAAAGGAAGTTAACATCATTACCTAAGGAAGAGATTCTGAATCTTCCTGAGAATTTGAACGCCAAACCTTGGGATTTTTCGCTCCAACGCTTTACCACTGAGCCACAGACTCTTGGTGTAGAAAGTAATTATGACACACGTTTAAGTTCATGTTCCTGATTTTTTCCTTGCAGTGGAAACTATCAAGTGAAGAAAG